GTGTCTGATGAGACACGGGAAGGGTGACACGTGTCCCACCCCGCTCTTCGGCCCACCTCTGTTTGGCTCTTGCTATCTTTTATCTGTGCACCACCATCGGTTGGTGGAAAGCTAATACTTGTGGTCCGGGATGCTCGTTACACCTGGTCCAAGGTCTTACAACAGAGCCACCTCTGCGGTACCAGATCCGGTACTAGATTTGTGTCCCACCGCCCTCTGCGGTACCAGATCCACGTGGTACCACACAGGGGATCAAGCTGAAGCGCTGGGACACGTCGCGCCGGTGCCACGTGGCACTGTTCCGTGTCTCTTCTTTACGCGTATCCATATTCACGAGGTTCCCCTCGTATCTTGCACCTTGATCTCCGTTGTGGTACCAGATCCACGTGTCGTCTTTCTTTCGCCTTTCGCCCTAATCAGATCCACGTGGTCCACCCCTTTCGCCCGCCTCCGGAACTTCAGTTTCTTTTTCTTTGTGTTTTAGTTTGTCATTACTGGTTCAATTCCACATGTGCCTTCGCTTTGTCGGTGTTCTTCTTCTTTTTATTTTTTTAAGGTACTTGTTATTTGCAGAAGATTGGTCAAAGGAGGCCTGAAATCCTTCACAAACCATCCCGGAATCTCGCAACGAAAGGATGGGACTAGTGGGATCCAACAACCCCGGATTATTCATTTTTCACCCTCGATTAACAAGATCAACGGTCAAAAATGAACAATAGGGGCTAGTGGGATCTGGCCCTTAGGTGGACACGTTAGAAAGACTCGAAAGACTCTATTACATTTGGGTTAGTAGAACAGCCTGTTCCCTACTCCGTTTCGTCCTAATCTGTGGTATCCGCTTGGTACGGGAGCGACGTTAGCGTGGAACGACGTCCGTGTGGTACTGGATGCATGCAAATCCACGCGGTACTCGATTCACCTGGGACCGGAGGCACGTGATACCACGTGGGCTTGCAGACACGGTACCACACCCACGTGGTACGGGAGGAACGTGGTCGTGGAACCACATCCACGTGGTAACGGAGCCACTTGCACAGAACATCAACGTGGTACCGGAGGCATATGCTATGGCATCCACACGGATCTACGCGGTACTGGATGTATCTGGTACGAGATCCACGTGGTACCCACGGGGGCTAGAACCACATGGTACTGCACCCACTCGCAATGCACGACGTGTGTTGTAGTACCAGACCCAGGTTTCCCATCGCTCCACGTGTCCGTGTTGTAGTACCAGACGCAGGTTCCCTATCGCTTTCGCCTTCATTGCCTCTGCGACAGTCTACGATCCATATGCTCTCGCCTACCAGGAAAAAAAATAAATAAAAAAATCCACGTGTACGCTCTTCTTCATTCGCCGTCGCTCGTCGTGCCTGTGCTCCGCCCCTCTCATCTCTCTCCCCTCGAGGTTGGCGTTGACCCCCACCCCACGCCGGCCTCTTTCCACCTCCCTGAAGTCAGACCATCGCTGTGGTCGCCATTCACACGGTGTCACTGTCGATATCACAGCTCAATTTCCCAGAGATGTTTTCTGTCGTGACACAAACAGAAAACACAACATGGCATGTCCATCTCTGCAGCTCCCATGTTGAAACCCCATCTCCTTTATATCATGGTTGTGGACGTCAACTTCTCCTGCGCCTTCGTTGTCATTACTTGCGTCCTCCGGGCCCCCCGATCCCTGCCAGCTCAGCTCCTTCGGGCTCTGCCCTTTCATCGCAATCCCAGCCGCGACTGTTTTTCGTTTTCGTCTTCCGTTCTCATGTGTACGTCTCGAGGGTTGTGTAATTATTGTTGACATCATCCTCAATTGCGTATGTTGAATGCGGACGACGAGAACACGCCCGTATGGCTGCCTTCCTTCTTTTTCTTTCTTTTGTGTCTTATAAAAATTTGGACAATTTCTCGATTTATGCCTGTCATCGTCACACAGGGCCCATGTAGCTAACCTCTGTCTATTATAGTGTACACAACCAGACAGCGCGCTCTGGATTAGCTTTTTTTTTTTTTTTTTTTTTCCCTAATTCATGGGGTTACTACCTGTTCCGTCATAGCGATCTGTCTCTCTCACGTCCGATCTTGTCTGGACCTCATCCAGTGCTTTGCCGTCTCTCTCCGTTGTTATGCCACGTGTCTTGTGGCGAAAGGCTCCGTTCACCTGCGTATTGCACCCGCCGTCTTTATCCGTATAGAACGCCTGGGCATTATAGCGGTATCTAGACAGTCACTGAAAGTTGCATCGAGCTCAACATGACTTTCTGCACAACTCGACAACCACGTCCATATTCGGGCGCTGGGGAAATTTTAACTCTGGTAGTGAGACAACGGCCGCTGGTCTCGACTGAGCTGAACACTCTCAAGAAAAAGAAAAATGGGAGACATTGTAAAGCCTCCCGCGACGAAACCTTATTCTTCATTTCCCCCGAAACGGGATAAAAAGTGCCGCACGTCGCAAAAAATTGTAGCAGGTATGGCACCTGCTGGTGGGTGCAGCTAACTTTTCGTGTTTTTCCCAAGTGAATATAGCTGTGTATGAAAAAGAGCACGCTGTCCATTCGAGTGAGGAGCTTCGTGTTTGTAGCGAGCTGTCTGTTCCGATTCACCCTCGTTCCCAGGTAAACTCTCTCTCTCTCTCTCTCTCTCTCTCTCATGTGTGGGTGCGCAGAGACAGACAGAGACAGAGGGAGTGCATGTGCTTCTTCACGCGGCTGCGTGCTCATGAATGCGTTTTTTTTTTGTTTTTTTTTAATCAATCAATCAATCCATCAAGCAACAATTAATGAACTAACCAAGCAGTCAATCACGGTCAAGCAATCAATCAAACAGTCGGTCAAATTGAGTCGATGAATCAATCAATGAATATATGTTCTTTTTTTTTCTCGTTTTTCGCTCGTCTTACTATTTTGTTATGATCCTGGCCAATCTCGAAGTACACTTTCATCAGAAAGTACTATGCCATCCAATTGCAAAAAGAAATGAATGAACTTGAGAGTGTGAAAACAGAAGAAGAAGAAACAAAGAAGAAGAAGATGATGTACAGCAGCATAGACCAATGAAAATGCTCTTCTTTGCCAAGTTGCCAACCACTCTCCACCTAATCTCTTATTGAAACAAGAAATAATAATAATAATAATAATAATAATAATAATAATAATAATGTTGAAAGGCTGAACCAGAATCAATGTCCGAATCCCTCGGCTACTGCAGGTATCACATGAGGTCCACCATAGTCATGGCCACCCTTCTTCCTCCTCCTTCCAAGGTCGAGGCTATGGCGGACTACCAGGGCATCGCCCTGCTGTCCGAAGGACAACACAAAGCAGCTATGGTTGCTCTAGCTCAGGCCGCCCTGCCCGACTCTGCCTCAAAGCTTCTGGGTGTAGCTCTACCCCAACTGGGGCCTTCCTGCTGCAGCACCCACCAAGGTGATGAAGATGGCAACCATCATAGCCAGGTAAGTACCTCTGGCGCTCCCCCTTCCCAGTCCTGGTCTTCTTCCTCCTGTCCTTCTCCTTCCCCAGCAGCGCAGTTCTGTGCTAGCGCTGCTCCAGCCAGCGCTTCCCTCAGTGTGTCCCCAAACTTGCACACTGACAATGAGGAGGAGCACCTTGCTCCTCCTGGAGATATAGCGGCCTGCTTGCCGCTTGACGAGTGACTTCCTAGGCCATGAGGCCTCCACGCAACCGGTGCCCTAGACTCAAACTGGTTAGACTGGTACCCTTCTGGACCTAGCTTACAACTATTGGGCCTCTAAAAATGCCAACTTTTGTCGTCTTCTGCTCGGCCTCAAGTACCCGGCACATTCACCTCTAGCTGGTGTGGTACCGGCCTAGTTGCTACTTGAGTGTTTTTCGCTGCTTCAAGTGCTGCGTGCCTCTTTCCCCGCCACTTGAGTGTTTTCCTCGCTGCAACCCTCAATGTCACGCCCTCAGGTAAGTATCGGCCCTTCGGGCCCTCTAAACGAATCAGTGCCCTTGCGGGTCACACTGACACTCAAGCCAACAAACACTCAGATAGGCAGGCAGACCAGCAAACATGCACACACACAGACTTAGAGAGTTCAGCAACAAGTGGGAAACTCAGCAAGGCAATCATTCTACGAGCAAAACTCATAAATCAGTTGTGTGACTCAGTTCATGTTTGGCAAATTGGCAGGTCATTACATTATCCCACTCCCTCCTGAAAGTGCTCCACGTTAACGGGCACCAAAAGTGCAAATTGCCCAGTTTTCACTTGGCTGAATCAGGCCAACCGGCGCAGGCCCGTTCATCCCAAAA